CCACCACCAACAGGTTCTCTGTAATTATATCCAACAAAAACAATGGATAGCACTCACTGAAAAAGAAATTACTTGCCAAAATATTTATCCACTATTTTTGGTGTGATAGGAAGTGTCATCTATCATGAAGTGCTAAACCAAAATGAAACAGTTAATGTGGAGAAATATTGTCAACTGGAAGCATTGCAGAACACTCACCCATAAAGGCAGTACAAAACCACATATTACCCAAGTCACTCAGGAAATGATTATGACACTAAATATAGATGTTTTGCCTCGTCCTCCTAACTCTCTTTACCATGCTCATTTGATTATCTTTTTCTTTTCTTATTTTTAAAATAAAAAAAAAAATCCTAAAATGCTTAATTGCAAAAGATTAAAAATGATATCCACTGTTGCTTTGCATTGTAACCTGAATTTTACTCCTAAGGGATCAAAAAAAGAGGGAATTATGTTATCAATAATGAAGAGAAATATTATCTTGATTAAATATATCAATTAAAAAGAAAGAAATCTTTGATGATATTTTCAAATGTGACAAGACTTTCTTTCCAACTTAATACACTTTTATGCATGCTTACATTATGGTCCATAGAACCTTACTCTAAATAAAAAAGGTTTCATTATCTTTTTTCTGATTACGTATGAATTTTACAAAAAAAAAAAAAAATCCATTTATGCAGTCAGTACAGGTAGGAAACATGCAAAACATTTGGATTATTTCATGTATATCAAGAAACTTATTTATTTTAAATAAAGCTTAATCGTTTTCTTTCTACGATCTTACACTCCAAATTGTCTGGAATGTTTTGTTTTGACAGGTTCAAATTTTGCTGAAAGTATTCTAATGGAAAGCTTTACTAAAGTAAGCTACTTTCTATTTATCATAAGGTCATCCAAATCCTGTTTGCATTATATTATTAAAGATACATGTATGAAGAAAGTTTTAAATTACATTTTTTAACAAACTCATTCAATGCATTATCTATTTGTGAATCCTTTTATTTGTCAGATACTACTCTGGTGAGAAAAAGGCTCCAATGTTGACCATTATTATTGGAGGCAATCATGAGGCATCAAATTATATGCAAGAACTACCTTATGGTGGTTGGGTAGCACCAAACATCTATTACTTAGGTAAATTTCTTTTGTTTTTTTTTCACTTATCATATCTGACTATGAATAGTTTTTAATACATACTTATGATTTTTAAAAAAAAATATTTACATGATCTAAAAGTCACTTGACATTAAAATTAAGGATTGTTTCTTCCCACTTACCTTTTATTGATATGTAAAATATATGAACCCTTAATTTATGGTCTAAGTAACTTTATCATGTTCCAAAATATTTTTTCTGTTATTTGCTTTCTTCTAAAGTTGAAATATCAGTACTAATACTTTACAATAATTCTGTTTATTGTTTATGTAAAACTGGTTTTTATGATAAAAAATCCTTTGAATACATTTTTTGTAAAAATCTGAATCATTAATCCTTGTCCGTGAAGGGAAAAAACAAGTTTAGAACAAAAATGTGGCAGTTATTTTCATTTGAAGAAAATGTATGTTATAAATACAGATTTAAAACACACACACACACAAGGGAGAACAGAACAATAAACTTTACATTAAAAAAAAAAATATAAAAAGGAATGACTTGAATTTTTTTGACACTGTCCTTAAAACAGATAAGAAGTTGTCTATTTTTTTCATGTATATTTGTTCATTCCTTCCTTGGATCTGTATAATAATAATACAAATATTTTCCCTAGACCAAAATTAAGGTCTTTCAGTCCCTAACTACTCTAGTTTCTTCAATTGTAGCCTACTGTGATGCTGCTGTATATGGGAAAGAATCAACTATGTTAATTGCTCCTGCTACCATAGAAGAACATCTCCTAACATCTGTATAATTAATATTTTAGGGTATGCATCTGTTGTACAGTTTGGTGGTGTGCGTATTGGTGGATTATCAGGAATTTATAAAGGTCATGATTTTTTAAAGGGTAAGTTGAGGAAAACAATTGTAATTTTTGAAAGCCTAATAATTATTAATATGTTATAAAATTTAAATCAAATCTTGAATATTAAAGATTTTAGTTTTTCATCAACTGATCTATTTTCAATTGTTAGATATCATTAAGTAATATGTTGTCATATATTTTAATTTATCATTTCTGTAGCCAGCAAGCTACAAACTTTAATAGTAATTGAAAAGTTAATTAAATTGTGATTAGGTTTATCAGATATTTATGAATTTTTTTTACAGGTCATTACGAATTCCCACCTTACACTGAAGAAACTAAACGCTCTGTTTACCATGTGAGAAATCTTGAATTTTTTCGAATGAAACAGGTTAGTCATTGATAGAATGGATTCTCCATTAGTCCTAAGTAACAATAGTGCATAGTCTCTGCTTGCTTTCTTTCTATTTTAGATTTCCCGTCCTATTGATGTCATGATGTCACATGACTGGCCTCGTGGTATCCACATATATGGTGATAAAGATGATCTACTTCGCAAAAAAAAATTCTTGGAGAGTGACATTCGTAACAACAGCTTGGGTAGCCCTCCTGCTGAAGATCTTCTACATTCACTTTGCCCTACCTACTGGTTTTCAGCCCATTTGCATGTCAAGTTTTCAGCCATTGTTCCTCATATGGTAAATTTTTTTTTTTTTTCAATTAGTACTCCCATTTAAATCCATTGAGTGATCTGACTTCTGATTAAGTCACTTTCATTTTTTTTTTTCTGACAGGATGAATTAGGAGAATTGAAATCTGAAACAAAATTTCTTTCCCTCGATAAATGTTTACCAAAAAGAGACTTTTTACAGGTAAACTATTTTTTCTCTACTTTATACTATATCAAAAATTGACATCTATCAAAGGCTGTTGGAGAAAAAAAAAAAATCTTAAGTAAATCAAAAGTTTACAATTTTACCCCACCAATATCACTCTTTGCAGCTCAATCTATAATTTGGTTAACTACTTGCTAAAAGAAAAGCATATTATTAACATAGTGACTTTCTTTCAAAATGTACTACAAACTTGTGGTTTTTCTTATGAACTATTATGTTCTAAAGATTAATTTTAAATATACATGCCCATAAATATTTTCAAATGTCTTTTGTATATTTCACATTTTAAGAATATATACTGAGATGTCTGAGTAATATGTGCAAAAGTGAAAATTTGTTTCATAGAGGTTTAAAATAAATTTTTGTTCGTGTTGTTTTTTTTTTTCTAAAGCAAAAAGTATATAGAAGTAGCCACTCCCCTTAAAAATTTGTACAAGCAGTAAATCCAGGACTACACTTCACAGCTTTGAAAATGTACAACTATTTATTTTTATGAAACTAATTGATATAACTGACAAGAAATTACACCATTTGAATATTATAATTCTGTTTAAGCTATAAAACATCCAAATATAACTAGTTTTGTCTTTGGTTAGAATAAGAAAAAAAAGTATCTATCAACTTTGAAAAATTTATTATCTATTTATTATCTCAGTGTAGCTTTCTCTTTAAATCATCAAAAACTTTAATAACACTTTCTCTTTCTCAATACAGATTCTAGATATCGAGCATAAAAAACCTTTAAAACTAGAACTGGATGCTGAATGGCTGGCTATCCTCAAATCTACTAATCATTTACTCCACTTGAAGAAATCAAATTGTTACATGCCTGCACCAGGAATTGATGAAAGGTAAATAAATTGTGAATTGTTTCTCATTAACAGTAATTTAGATTTGAAATGTTTAATTTTAAATATTGTAAACATTAATTTTTTTTTTTTTTTCCCCCCAGATACAATTTTAAAGTAAGTGATGAGGATATAAAATCTATTATAAGTGATTTTGGTGGAGATCTAACAATTCCTGAGAACTTTGTTCAAACTGGCAGTGTGTATGCAGCAAGTGGATTTAATAATTATCACACAAATGAAATTCTAATTAATGATCAAACTACACTTTTATGTGATATGTTAGGTATTACAAACCCTAACAAAGTGATAAAGAATTCGAAGGATGATAATTTCAAAGACTTTCAACAGGTAGATAAAGAATCTGGGTCTGAAAAATCTGAGGAGTCTCTAGATGAAGAAGAATTTAGAGAAATCATGTGTACTCAACAAAATACAATCACCCTGCCATCTGCAGAAAACAGCCAAGAAAATAGTGATGAAAATGTATCAAGCTTTGACAGTTCAAATTCTAGTAAACGCTCTTTGTTGGATTCAAATGACTTAAATTCATCAAGCAAAAAACTGAAAAGAAGAAATATTAGCATATATTCAGATGATTTTTCTTGACAACTGTTTCACAAGCTTTTACTTGTTTCTAGAACAGATTATCCAAGGTTAAGTGTAAACCATTATATATGGATTTGACTCTACTGAATAAAATATTTTCTTATTAAATGAACTTTTAAAATAGTTATTCACAGCTTTAATAACAGAATTTGAATGACCATAAGAAGCTTTGTCGTGTGTAGTGCAAATGAATTTAGCAGGAAAAAAAATGGTCCAATAATTTCACTGAGGTCTTCTATTAAAGCAAGTTCAGCATCAGATTGGAATAAAATGATGAATGGGTAAGGGCACACAATCAGATATAACAGTTCACAAAATTGTGTTAAATTGTAAACTGAATTTCAATTTAAGAACAAATCACAGCATTTTTCCTCTTCCAGAGACAGTAACATTTGGTATGATGTTGACTCAAAAATGTGACTGGAACTTTTTAAAGACACTCAATTGTCTTTTTCTAGGACATTTAACTGGCAGTTTCATTTCCATCTTGTGTTCAACCAGTTTATTAGAAACAGAACCAAGTTTCTTATTCCTTTCTCACTAGAACACTAGTAGAGCCATTCCTAACAGTAATCTTTTTCGTTTTTCTCTCTCATACACACAACCAAATAATTGTAATTGTCTGCCAACAATTTCTGTTGACAATTAATCATTTAAATACTCAACAATATTGCAGTTTTCATCTTAGTCCATGGTTTTGATGAATTTCACTGCAGAAAAGAACTGCATCCACCAATACTGTTCTTCACCAGCTACTCGTTCACCATAGAAGCTGTTTACATATTGAATCGTAGACAAAAGGCAAGGAGGATTTGCCTTAATAATCACATAGATGAGGACAGGGAAAAAGTCATCAGCTGCAGGCACCTTCCTGTCATTAGCCATACTCAGCAGGTTCATGATGCAGAGAGAGCAGCGGTACACACACTGCACCTTGTCTTTGGGAGTCTGCAAAAAAAAATTAAGTTTAAAAATAAGAAATTTCTGTAAATTTAAAATATCTACTTGCTTAAAAGTATTTGAATCAATTGTTTGTTTTGTCACCCTATCAATTTTAATTATTTACTACTTTAAAGCTGAAGCAAAAGATTTACAATTTTTTTTTTTTAAGAAACTGACAAAATATTTTAAACCCAAAGTACATTAAAAAGTTTGACAAAGTAAAAGTCAAGTTTATCTTATTCTGCTCTTTTGATTTTTTTTTTTTTTTTTTTAAATTACTAATATATAAGAATTGATTATTATAATTTATCAATTTCCTTAGCTTCACATTTTCACAACATTTTTTAAATACATTTCTCAGTTATCTTAATTGTAAACTTTTTTTTTTTTTTTTTTTATCCCATATATACGTATCAAAATATAAATATCTGGACATGAATTGTGCTTCAAGTATCATTTTAAGCAACAGAAAATTAACATACTATTTACATTATTCGGACTATTGTCCTCATCTTTGTCGCCATATTTATTACAATGTTTCAGCCACTGTATGCTCCAACCTTCTTCAGGTGATTGGAATATCAAACTGAACCCTTTTTTCGCTCACTGGGATAGACTGTTCTAGTTCCACATGCCATGTCTAATGGATATCAGTTATCTCCTGTTAATTCCCCTCTCCAAGTTCTTAACCAGGTATTAAACTCACATTATTTGGGTCCTGTCACTGGATCTAACTAACACCTTTATCCACTGTACCATGTGTCCTTGAGGACATCTGTGTATGAATTTCTGGGTATTATTAACCAAATGTCATCAGCAACAATTTTTTTTACCAGTGCTCATATTGCAATTTTTGTTATTATTGCTTTCCTCTGGCACTCCTTATTACTGATTCCTATATTGTATTCATTTCTATGCTTGGTCAGCTCAGGAGATTTTTGTGGCCTAGCATATATCCTGATTCCTTAAGTTTACAAATTTTCCAATGGTGTTCTTTGTCTATGATCTCAACCTAATCCCACAACAGGGTTTTGATTCCATTTTCTCTCCATATGTGGTCAGCCATGCCAGATTTTTCCACTTCCCCTCGTGTTACAGCTTTTCTGGCGTTCTTGAAGCCTGGCTCCCCTTTATATTTCTAAGCAGCTGCATTTGATAGCGAATAGTTTTAATCATGTTCTCCTTATTGGGGGGTCTTAAATTCGTTTTCTTTTTGAATCGACAGCAGATCCTTCGTATTTTCTGTTAACCTCTTCACATAATTCTTCCATGGCTGCTGAAGACATTAGGTTTATAATACCCAGAAATTCATACACAGATGTCCTCAAGGAGACATGGCACAGTGGATAAAGGCATTAGTTAGTATTTGGGTCCTGTCACTGGATCTGAGTTCAATACCTGGTTAAGGTGGTGGAGAACTTGGAGAGAGGAGATAACTGATAATTGACATCCATTAGACATGGCACGTGGAACGAAATAAAGGGTTCAGTTAGACATTCCAAGACAACAGCTGAAACATTGTAATAAATATGGTGACAAAGATGAGGACAATAGTCCGAATAATGTAAATAGTGTACATCTCGTCTCCGAAAAGCAGCAATTGAGTGTTGTCTCTACTCAAAAGACAAGTCACTTTTTTTCTTTTTATACACATTCAAGAGCTGCAAGTTTTCTATTTATAAATAAGAAAATATACTGCTGTATATTACAAGTCATTATCAACAAGGATCTGACCATCACTGACACCTTTTTTTTTTCTTTTTTAAGAGGTCAAATAAAATAATTTTACCTGACCATAACTTAAAGTTTTTTTTTCATTTGACATCAGGTTTGTCTGCTTTATGGCAAGATATGTACACCATGTCTGTACTCACAGACACTGTGCTTTTCTTTTTTTTTTTTTCATAAAGGTAATGATTGGTTCGAAAGGAGCAACAAACTTCATAAGATTTCTAGTTGACACCCATCATATAATGCAATAAAATGAGAGGTCACTTTTTTTTTTTCAAGTTCTAGCACTTCACTAAAACATCTAAACTTAAGTTTTTGTGCAGTTGTCTGCTGTCTGAATGATCACCCTGCTGCAAAATCTTGATTATAACTTTACTTTCAGAAATAGGTCTACAAGTAGTGTGGCAGAGGATAGAATTTTGTTTGATTGCTTGTGAAATGTTTAAATTCTCCAGAGTGATAATTGCAATAAAAAACATCACAAATATTCTTTATAAATTTTCCATAATTGTAAAGTTGACTTTAAGAAACATTTCAATATACAATAAAGATTTAGTAGTAACTTTGCTTCAAGCTATTTTGTTTAGTGACTAAGTTTTTATCATATTTCTTTGCATTTCCGATTTTGTAAGTGACAATTATGGCTGTAATAGGACAAACTACCTTTTCACTGTTAACATAGGTACCACCAAGAGATCACTAAAAAAAAAAAAAGCATAGCATGATGAAAAAGATGCCAAACTTGATGCAAACAATTTTTTTGTCTAAATGTTATTAAGAGGAAAGAACAAAGTATTTTTTTTTAATTATTTTAAAAAAATCTTTTCCTTCTTTTTAGAACATTCTAACTTTTGATTAAAAAAAAAAAAAAAAACCTTGTTTCTCTTTGTATCAACGGAATTACTAAATAGCAAAATTTTAGTATGGCAGAAAATAATTTGGGTGTTAATGAAACTTTCAGAAACTATTCACAAATGATGGAAATTATTATAAATACGTTTCTTTTTTATAGTCATAGCAAAAAAAATTTTACAAAAAAAATTTTATGTATTTATTACCCCCACCCCCAACTAATTTTATGAAAACTCTAGGAAAGCAAATCATGTATTATTTTTTTAATTGGAAACCTGAAAATCAGCTCTGAATTGTAACAGATGAAACTCAATAAAACAAAGATATTATTTAATTTCAAATGCTTTTAGTTGTTTTTATGAATATGGATAATATTGTCTGAAAGCAAAAAACTTTTTCGATGAAAAGTGAATTTTTAAAACAATTATTTGTTATTTCTTAAATTATTTTTAGATTAAAGTTGTTAAAATATTCTAAAATTAATGAAAATGGCATTTAGTTTAGTTAATGGTGTTATTAAATAGATCTATCTTTTAGCATAAGTTGTATAGCTTATAACAATCAGAAGAGCTGAACGGTATAAAAAAAACTAATTCCAAATGGCTTTTTGTGTCCATAAAACAGCTGTAATTCAAATGTACGGAAGACCAGCAAGAATACAAAAAAAAAAATTGCATTATTTGAGTTAAGCATTGTTCTCCACCATTGGTACCTTTATTTTTGCGAAACATGTGTGGAGAAGTTTATTTGATTTATCAATTTCAACTGAGAAGGGTACCTACAAGTATTAGTATCATCTTATGAAATTTATATGATCTTATTTTTATATTATCTCAGTTATGACATTTTTCCATAAATGAAATATCAAAATTAATAATAAACTAAATGGAAATACCAATAACATAGTAAAATGTAATAAATGTACATAAAATTATAGTATTTTATGTACACTTCTGATAAAATTTCATAAGATACCTATAAATTAATTAGATACCTTTCTTATAAAATTTAATCTCACTCAACAGGTTTTTAATTTTTTTATATTTTTCATAAAGCATCATAAATGTAAAGGTGAAAGCTAAGTACAAAAAATATTAGAGCACTGAAAGTTTTCCTTAAAAATAACAAGGTAAATAAGTTGGTTCACTTAAAACTAAATAATTATGTCACTTCTATCCTTCTGTATGGTAACTTTCCCTTATGTAAGCTGACAATACATGATGAAATCATCATTCATCACTTGTCAAGTGACACCAAATGTTATGACCTGTTTTGTCTTATTTTTAAACTACATCTATTCGGCGCAGAAACTAAGTAACGCTTGTTTCAAAATATTTTAAATAAACTTTATAATTTCTAATTTTCTTAAAATAAATTGAAAAAATTATATTTGATTTTTAAAAGAAATTGAAACAGATTTTCATTTTTTTATATAAAAGGGGAAAAATGGTTGACATGATTGATTATCTGTGTGACACTATTTAGCTATGGTAATTGGCTAACTAATTAACCATAGAAATTAAAAACAGGAAATACTTAAGGTGAGAGAGCTATATCAAAAGATAGACTGAACGACGTTAAAAAGATTATTTTATTTACAAAAAAAAAAAATACTTTTCACATGAGACAGAAAATCCGTAAGAAAAAGCAAGATATGAGATTCTGTCAAATTTAATTAATACCATGGTGAGGGAATGTCTTGCCAAGGGAAACAGAATACAGAAAAGAAAAAACAAAGCCAATTGACCTTTCATGGCAGTCATAAAAAAAATTCGGACCTTGAGATGACCAACACATTGAGCAGAGAGAATCAATATTAATTATCTTTCAAAGATATCATTTATTTTTGATTCTTGGGTCCAGCAAAAGAAAAGGCCATCTGGTGTAAGAATTTTGGCATGAGAAAGAAAAATTGTAAAAAAGTATTATTGTTAATTTGATAATCACGATGTCGGATACATTTAGCTATGTCAAAAAAAGTTATTATCTGGTGATAAAAGAATTTTAAGGCATGAAAAATTAAAGAATTTGACTTCTTTTTTTTTAAACATGGACCCCAGTTAAAAGTTGACTTTGATGGAAGAAGATGTATTTTCCTAGCCTTGACAGTGATGGATGAAAAATTTGGCCGATGGGAAAATAAAAAGAATTTTGTAAACAAAATTCTAGATAATAATTTTAAGAGAGCCAGTCTAGCCACACTCACACTGCTGAGAGATCATTGGTCAAGTGGTAGCATGAGTGATAGGCGGAGGTGAATTTATGAGAAAGGCAGAGAAGTTGTTAACAACCACTGAGAGGATTGGTATGTGAGAGAGGAAGAGTCTAGGAGGATAACTCTCCCCTCACGGATGAGGGAGAACCCCCCAAAAATGGAAAGTGATTAATCTTCCAAAAATGGGAAGTAATTAATTTTCCTGAACAAAGAGAATTCTTGTTGGGAATTGAGGAACCCAAGCCACATCAGGCCCCACACCGGGTTTTGGTCAGTACCCATAGAAATGAACATCCCCAGGCAGTTTAGCAGTTCAGTTCTGGGCAGAGTCAGAGACCATTCGAGTAGCGGGAACCAGAGTGTTGCCTCGCAGAAGCTGACAAAGATTCCATGTCCTTTCGACTTCGCCTCCCTACCAAAAGCAAGTGATATTAACGAACGGCTTAAGATACCAAAACTCATATAAGAAACACAAAAGTGTCACAAATCCATAGAAACAGGCTGGGAGAGAAACACACTCCTGTATATAACAGACAGATAAAGATAATTTGTTATTTCTCAACATATTTGAACCTCTTGAGTTTTGTTTTATTGTTTCTTTTACTTACACTTGTGCGATATCACCTTCACCCCAAATTCAGCTTGCGTTACGGCCCGACGCCTGATTGATTTCGTCTACCTAAGATCAAAGTCACAACGTCAGTAGGTTAGACTTGAGATACTTTGTAGTTACTTTGGTAACCAGACATTGAAAGTGAGCTGGGAATGACAAAGCTGGTATCGAACGGGGAACGACCAGATCAACTGGGACACAGGCTGGTTGGCAGTGACAAGGAGTCAACCTCAAAACGCTGGTGGAAGAAACCTTACAGCTTTGCGCCACAACTGGGAGTTGACCACGGGCCGACAGTGCAGTGTCACATATTGGTGCTGCGACCACCAGAGCGTGTTACATCTGTCAATTTTACTGACTCAAGAAAAAACAAAACAGATTTTTAACGAAAATTTTGGACATGCTAGGAACAAAAAATGTAAAAAAAATTCCAAAAATACTTTGGTCTTTCCTCTTAATAATAACAAACATTTAGACAATAAAAAACTATTTTCATCAAGTTTAAGGCCCTTTTTATTCATATGTTCTTTTTTTTTAGCGATCTCTCAGAGATACCTATGTTAACAGTCAAGGCAAAAAAATTGTCCCCTCATTAATTGAAAACAATTTTCTTATTCATTTTTTTTTTTATACTTTTGTTAATCACTTATTTTAAACCCTTGTTTTAGAACTAACTAGTGCAATTGAAGAATTAATAACTGCTTCACTCAAAACAGTATTTAAATATTCAATAATTATAAAAGTATATAATTTTTTAATGCTTAAAGTTCAATTTCCATAAAAAATGTTCTAATTAGCTATAATCTATCTGCATGTGAAGACAACACAAATAAAAGGTATATATGAAATACATTTATATCACATTCAGCATGTTTAAATGCAAAATGCCTAAGGATGAGTGAAAATGTAACTTGGTCATATGTTAATTTAATTTTCATTCAAGTTCTTTCAAATAACTTGCCATTGATAAAATCACTTTATTTGAATATCATTGATTCGCAGATTTTTCTAGTATTAAAATATAAAAAAAAAAAAAATAGTTTTGCTGTTATGTACTCTTTTCAGTTTGGGAGCTCAAACGATGTATTGAACAACATTAATTGGGCAACTGGCAATTAAACTGACTGTTAGGGTTCCTTCAATTGGCTGTTGGCAGGAAACACTCAATGTGTAAGATTTTTATACAAGAAAAATAAGATAATCCTGAGAGATATTGCATATTAGTCCTTTGGATAATGAAGGTATTGATAGATATAAATAGTATTGTAAAAATAATGGATGACAACGGAATGTGCAAAATGTTAAAATCATTAACATAAAATTTTTTGAGTCTTATCAAACTGAAAAGGATAAAAATGTTATGTAGGTTGATTTCATTTACATGAATTTATAGAAATATTCTGTTTAGCTCATTTATCTTTCATCTAATTAAAATACAATTTATAAATTGTAAGGATTTTCTTTACACATTTGTTCAATCCACATGAATATTTTTAGCATGAAATGCATAAAGGGGTTTACTCTATATTAAAGGTGATTTTTGTTATTAGTTTATTCTATATAATAGATACCATAAACTAAAAGATTTTTTTAATATATTTACAAACCTTTCAAATACAGAGAGCTTGACAAAGCATACAAAAATGGTACAAAATTTATCTTGGGAGCTAAGAAAATTTTGTTTTGTGTGCTATTGGGCTAAATGTCAATTCCAACAGCATATAACTGAAGATTCAGACTTCAGACTAGTTAAAAATTAAATGTAATGTCATACAGGTGGTCTCGACATAAAAGAAATATAATACTAATGAAATCAATAATCATGAGATCATATCAGCCAAGACATTTGGAAAAATTGCATTCTCAAAAACGAAATAGTTAAGACATGGCACAAGGACATATTTCATTGTTCATTGAAAGTGGGGAGGGAGAAACAGATTAAGCTGATAAGAACAGATACTACACTTTGCCAATGCTCCTCGGCTAAGATCAATCACAAAAGCCATTTTTCATACACACAGTATCACACAATGGAAACTGAGTAAGGTAATCAGTAAAAATCCAGTTTACTATAAATAGAATAACATCATCTGCTAAATCATTAAGAAAAATGTTCCAAAGACAGGGATTTGGCTCGAAAGAAGGGTGTTTAAAGTCTTCTGCCAATACTTCAGAAATAACAAAAAAAAATATACACTACTTGGTTTTAGTGAGAAAATGAATGAAAGAAAGAACATAGAAGTGCTTAGTTTAATAACTGTTTAGGCAAAATGGGGGGGAAAAAGTCAATTTCAAATCTTTTCATTTAAGAAATAGGTTCTACTTAAAATAACAATCAGCATTCATATTTACGATTGTTATTGCAACATTTTGTTAAAGTTGTTAAACTCAAATATTTAACAATGTGATAGGGGAATTTCTATGGATATTTTATTGTTATTAAATATAGATTCTTCAGAAAATTGGAAAACTGAAATTTTCACAGGTCTTTCTAGTAAATAAAAATACATTTATTGGAACTGGTGAAAAATACTTTCCGGACAGTTGGCATTTTCTCTTCTAATGGTGATTTGCAGTTTGAATTTGTTTATAAGTTGCTATAGTCAATATTCCTGGAACACTCCATATCCTATCATCTCTTAAGAGTGGTGTTATATCAAAGTCCCAGCTAAAGACAAATATTGACACTACTTGTGTAATATCATCCAACAAAGACCATCAAAACTAATAAAATTTTGATTACAGCACTCAACGGAGATCTAAAAATGAATGACTTGGTCAATGTAAAAGTTGGAGTAACTGCAACTCATTGGCCTTGGTGGTCATGACCAAAGGCCATTTGAAGTGGTTTTTCACAAATGCTACATTCATTTGAATACTCAGATTCATTGAGTGCCTTTTCTTCATTTATTTGTTCAACTTTAGAGGTGGAGATGAAGTTCCATTAAAAGTTATATCACTAATGTCTATTACCTTCATCACACAATTTTTAACTTTATCAGCATACATTGCAAGGAATTTGGGGTTTCTTCAGCCTGCTTCTCCCACTTAGAAAAGAAAACTACTTCTCAAGACATTAATTTCATCATCCACTTAACAAAAGAATAAAATGTAAATTTTATTAATCACCCAGTTAGGTCTCTGGCACGAAAAGCATTAATACATAATAGTATTAAAAAAAAAAAAAAAAAAGAACAGATACTGACTTAAAAAAAGAGGTTTTGCTTATCTTTCATAATGCCATTATGATAATAGGTTAAATTTTTTATGGACCCATGTGTCAAAGTTAAGCTAAAATACAAGTCCTGTTCATTTTTTTCATAACGTATCCAGTTTCATTTTTTCAATTTACATATTATCCCATATTGTATCATATATCAAGAACAATTTTAGAAAGAAATATGGCAAAGTGGAAAAAGTTTCATGTGACATGTTTCATCCTTTAGGACTTCATTGAACTAAGCTTACATTGATATAACTGAACATACAATGAATGAGACATGCTGAGAATTTTGAATTTAAAAAATTTTTTTTTGTAATGTCTTTTGGGTCTATAATCTAGCCATTTTCCTTTAGATACTTTTTCTTTGTTTTCATCACTTTTTTTATTAAATATCCCACATAATAGATCTGCTAAGAATGGTAAAACATTGTAAGAACCTGGATGCAAATTTACTCTGAATATTCTAGCAATGAAAGCACTTTCTAAACATTTTCTCTTTTAATTAAAGTAGCATTTTTAAAATCAAAATTATGCTCAGCCCCATTATGGTGAGCAACTAATGCATTTAATGTTTTGTAAAAGATCAGTTTTGTGTTCATATAATCTTGTATTTAAATTCCTTGAGGTTTCTCCAATGTATTCTGTGTGGCAATTATTACAGTAACAGTAAATTCTTCCTTCAAGTTCTAACTTTTTTGTTTTGTAATAATTAAGTTTTTTTATTGTCTGAGGTGTAGTTGTAACAAATTCTATGTTGAGTTCAGAGAATTAGTGAGTAGAACAATGTTTTGATTCATTTGGTTTGCCAGGAAGGACCACTTTTCTATTTTGAACCTTTTGTTTCACATTGAATATGAAATAGGGTATTGGAGGAGTTTAAAAATATTTCTCCTCTTCATGTAAATAATGATCTTATATTAATTTGAATCTTTACTGAACCAGTTTACATTGTCTTCAGGCTCCAAGGAACCTGAAGAGCTTTACATTCACTTTTAACCACTAGGCCATATACCAAATTTTTAAAAACAATATTCTGGAACAACAGAAGTTTTGACTTTCAGCATTAATATTTTTCCTAATTTTTTTAAAATCACATCTGTTAATTGTGCTTAAAAATTTCTCCCAGTGACCAATTCAAATCAAATTTGATATTTCCTAATGTTTTAGATATTTCTTACAATTGATTACAAACCTTATACGCGTTAATCATGTGGATTTCTCGCTGAGCTGCTGGCCAAGGACACTCAAATTGATAGATCTTTGGAATACATAAATCCTTATGAGTTGGAGAAATGACCTGAGATAGCTTTTTGATGTGTTGATGAATGAGTCTGTAAGAGAACAAAAATCAAATATCTTAGCATTATGTACATCATTTTTCTCTACTGTGGTCATTAATAAAGAAAATACATAAAATCTTATCATTTTTTTCCAAATTTCTTAGAAGGGATGCCATTTGGTATTACATAGTGATTCATTCATGCCAAAGAAAGGAACTAGTTTGAATTATAAGATTTAATAAAATGTAATTACTACCATAGTAATAACATAAGTTCCAATGTACAGGCTTTAGATATTCAATGTGCATAGATTTCTTTGTTTACTTACTGGTCCCTCATAATGTCTCCATCACCATTAGGAAACATAGCATGAGTATATATTCTGCCCATCACATAGCGCTCCAGAGAAATTCGCCCACTTTCTAACTGAGTTTCACTTGAACCTGAAATACATGAAAGAATAATGAATAAAACAACTATAGTTAACATGTCTATTTGGTTGGTGATAAAATATTTTACCTGAATACTGCAAATACAAATCAATTTATAACTGTTCTATCTCCTATCTCAAGTATTTTTTGGATTTTAATTGTAAATATTTTCCCAAAATTCTACAATCAAGTGACACAGTCTTACCTTGCCAAAGAGGATCAGTTTCCATGTTGTAATAGAGATTTTTAAGGAACTGATCTACAAGGTTAGCCTGAAAAGAGAAAAACCAATAACCATACTTAGACATAATAAATTAATGTTTCAATACTTTAATCCAATTTGGCAAATATGACAAAAAAAACAAAGAAAAAACAAAAAAACATTGTGATAACTTCACATGAAAAGCATATAAACATAAACAGATTTTTTATAACATGTCATTTGAGAAAATAGGCAATGTGTTTCAAATTGTCTGCTTCATAATCTGGCTGTCAACCAAGATTATAGAGCCTATTCTACCCTACTATAGCTCAAAGGAGAAAAATAGATTCATGCCTTTCCTAAGAATATTAATGCAAAACAGATACTACATCTCTATGGAATATTTCATGGCAAGAGCACAGACAATAAAAAACCAAGATCTTGCAGCAGTGACCACAGGGGATCAAGCATAATAAAAACCTTAAATAACAAGGAAAAACACAAACTTTCAAGGGGTACCTGATATAACCAAGAAAATAGCCAAGAGTGTGGCCACTGTGCTAGTAGTTGCTACTTCTACCAACTAGCTCACTCCTACATTTATTGGTAAAGATAGAAGTTTTTCAGTGTGGAGCAAGAGCCGTCCATAATACAGGTTTCATAAGTCCTTTGATTACTTTGAAGCTTGTGAACAGCTGGAGTAGGATGAGTAGGCATAAAAGCAGTTGATGGAAGAGAGATTGAGTGTAAATGTACCAGAACTGTGACTTTGGATGTGATTTAAACTTCAGGCAAAAATGCTTGACAAAACTCTTATAATTATTTACACAATCTACATGCAGATTATTGTCCTCATCTTTGTTGTAATCACATTTGAGCTTTTGGGCCCTCTGGTCTTCCTCCAGTGTATGTCAATCCAGGAAATTCAATTGGATGTTAAGCTTGGATATGGTGAGCCTGTTCACCAGAGTTCCAGCAGATGAGGCCCTGACAGTGGCTTGAAACTGACTGGAATCAGTCCCCTTCCTGGGAGAAAATACTAATGAACAGCATCACTAAAGCTAACAGCATGGCTGAGATATGTAGATGACAACTTCACACTCTCGTTTCACCAGAAAACTGTACAAATATGACTGGACCACAAACTCAATAAGATTGTCAGTCCAGTTCACAATGGAAGAAGAAAATAATAATCAGCTAGCTTTCCTGAATGTACTAATAACTCACACAGACAATGGGCTCAAGACATCTGTATATCACTCACTAGCCAACCTTCAGCAGACAATACTGCAACTTCACTTCCCACCATCCATACAATGTGCAAAAAAGGGATTGTTTAATGCCTACAACACCAGGCAAAAATTCCAAGTGGCAACACAGACATACCAACAGGAAATGATCAGCATCAAGTGCACCCTTCAGAATAACAGCTATCTGGCAAACTACAGGTGGAAACAGAGGGGGTCAAGGAGGAAGATCAGAAAATTGCCACTGTCTGTCTGCCTTATGTCAAGAGCTTATCGGAAAAGATTCAGAAGATCAGTGGTCCATACATCAGGACAATTTTCAGAAGCAGTGCCATTCTACAAAGAAATCTCTGCTGAGTAAAGTTTAACACAGGGTAGAACATGACCAAAAATTGTGTGTACTCCATTCTTGACAAAAAACAAAGGTGAAACAAGTCACTCTGTGAAAGTAAAGCTGAAGAAACATTGAAATGCCTTTTCATGAGAGTTGAGACAATGAAATCAGACATAATTGATCATGTATCGGTTTAGTCATCAGCACTTGTGGAAGTGAAAATATTGGACAAGAAAGAGTACTGGAGAGTTAGACATCTGAAAGTATCAGCACATATGCTAGGCCATGAGGGCATTCTTAGTAGGCCTAGCATAGAAATAAATATGATATAGGAGCTCCAAGTTCTCCACAAAGAATTATCCACAGGACAATAGCCAAGTGGATTAAAGTTCATGAATTTGGAGATATAGTTGGGTGGGGGCATGTGGACTAAGTGGAAACAGGATAATTAATAACTGAGCTGTATTAAAAACAAGAACTAGAAGAAATATCTATAAACATGGTCAGTGAAACAAGGACAGCCTACACCATAGATTAAATAAAAGGTTCAGTCTGGAATTCCCTGTAGGTTACCTGGATCAATATACACCTGATTAAGGCTAGAGGGCACAAGAGCCTAAACATTGTGCTAACAACAACGATAAGGACAATAACTCCTCATCCCAGAAATTCGACAGAATAATTTTTATAGTAATAAGTATGGGCAATGGAGTAGGTGGAGAGTAAAGTCAATAAATAAAGAGTAGTGTTTGTGGAAAGGAGGAGTATGATGTGTTGTAAATGTACAACAATAGGAACCATGAAATTGTAAGACAAGAACTTCCATGCAGAATTTAATGGTGAGTAAGAATGAACAGTTGAATGGTTATGAAGTAACAGTCTCCCATGTTGAAGAATAAGGTGAGCTGCTATGAGTGTTCCCTAGAAGGTGTGAAAGTCAAATTAAAAAAAAAAAAAGTAGAATGTTGGTTTAAAGGTATTCACATGCCCTTGGAGAAATTTAAAAGTGGACTATAAAAAATAAGGTTTTGTCAGTTTAAAATGAATTACTATATAGCTTATCACTTAAGCAATGCCACAGATGTAGAGAAACTTTGTGAGAGGGAAGATAATTGACGAGCTTCGGAAATTGTCAATTTGAATTCATCCTACATATTGCTGAGAAACTGGAAATATTGTGAGGGGTGGGGGTCATTTTCTTTCACTTTTCTCAGTTTATTTATGGATTCAGTGATTTTTAAATCAGGAGAAGGTAATGTTTGGTGAATACAATGCATCAACAAGACGGCTCAATTCCAGCATAGAACCATATGTTTTGCCAATATATCAAAATTGCTTCCTTTACCCTTAAATATAGTTAAGATTTTTTTTTAAAAAGTTAATAAACATAGAATAAAAATAGTAGATGAATCTGTCAAAAAAAATGAATGTTTGAGGAGTTACATTTTTTAAATATCACATTTGATTGTCCAAATTAAGAACATGTATGAAATCAATTCTATTCTTATCAAAAAAAATTAATATCAAAAAGTACCTTTTCATCTGACATGGTAAGCCTTTGGAAGTCTGACATGAAATTTGAAAGTAGTTTATCTTTATTTTCAATGAAACGCTGTACACACACATTACTCATGTGATTATTGCATATTTCCTTGTCTCTGAAAAATAAAATTATTATATTGTTAACAAGAAAAAAACAGTTCTATACAGTAAAAAATGTATATTAAAAGTTGAAATTTTTGCTAAGTATACCAGCTTACAAAATGGACAATATGGTTTCTGCTCACAATTTAATGTCATTCACAACCAATATTTTTTGGTTTGAAAGTTAATACTGTAAGATTGTTTTTTTTATTTTTTTTTATTTCTTCCTACAAGTCATTATTTAAAAAGAAAATTGTTTTTATAGATAAATTATTGATTTTAAGAATAAATATCATAAACAATATTTAATATCAAAATATTGCTAAAATTTCTGGTTTATAAATGCTATCAAAACAAAGCATCTCACCTTTGTACGCGCTGTAAAAGTCCTTGAAGGTGATGAAAGCTTGTCAGCAGTCCCTGTTTAGAGCGAGTCAAATAAGCTACATAATGTGATCTTCCTTTATACTCTTCTGCTAAAGAGCGAAAAAGTTTCATACATCTAGAAAAATAGAAAAAAAAAAAAAATTCCTAATAGATCCATCACCAAAAGCATGAAGTTTTAAAAATAAATTTCTATTTTTTGCAAAAAAAAAAAAAAGTTATGAATTGCTTTTGATTTTGTGAATTTAGGCAATAAAATAAAAGAAACATTGTTATTCATTACCCATACAGAATAGTTGTAATTGTTCAACATTTCTAAATTTCAACAAACCTATTTCACATTTTAGTATTATCATATTTGAAAATATCTTATTTGTTATATCAATGGAAAATAATTCATAAAAATGTTGTTTCTAATAATTTATGAATCATTTATACATACATAATTTTTGTTATAAATGGATGAGACATACCCATCATTATCAAATAATCGAATACATCGGATAACTTCATGCAGCTGAGCAACCATCTCTTTGTTGCGTAAGTTAATTGCTTCAGCCAACTGTGCACGAAGAATGTGCACAAGATCATTCTCTTTCCATTGGCTGCCATCACTTGTAGCTCCTTCATCACATGGACTAGTTGGTATCCACCAACTTGAAGAATGATAACCAACAGAGCAATTTTGATAATCACCAACACTTAGCACCAAACGTAGTTTTCTTTTCACATCAGAGAATGCAAAACAATTTTCTAAATTGTTTGGATCATAATAAGGGACTTCATTTTCTTCTTCTTTTGTAGAATGATGTTTCTCCTTAGTACTTTCTTCAGTCATGTTCAAACTATGGGAAGCTGTTACACTGGGTTTCTTACGATATTTGGCAAGAATATCATCTCCAGTTTCTGAAATTTTAAATTAATATGATTTTAAGAATTGGTGAAACCACATTATATTTATTATAGCATAGAATTTATACTTACAATTTGTTACTGGGTAAAATATCATAAACCAAATGTTTAAAATTGCATAAGTATAAACCATAAAATATTATGGCAAATTATGGCCTTTTTGCCACAAATTTAACTCTACTTAAAAATGGTCATCAATATAATAAATTTTAATACTTTAAATTAAACTCTTTTCTAGTTAAGTTTTACATATGGTCTTTACCAAGAACAAGTAGGGTAGATGTTACTAGTCATTAGAATAAATGATTCTTACACTGTATTTTAATGGCATGGATATCCTTCCATCTATACCTATAACAGGCTGGAGTAGACATGTAGAGACCTAAATTACAACTAATTAACAATGACAAAGAACATTTTAATTCAGGAACTTGTTAGTAATATCCAGTAATTAGTTAATTAGCAACTATACCTATTATGAAGCAACTTACAACTATAACAGTTCTTTTCTATCAATGCAAATGTACAAAGAAACAACAAAATCTTCTCTATTTACTAAATGCACACACAAAAAAAAAATAACTTTATTCATCATAAATTAGGATCCTTTTAGATGATATTGCAAAAATAACAAGTCAGTTTGTTTATACTAATTGATTAAAAGCACAGAAAGTATAATCAGAAAGTAAGTTCAATATTTTACAAAATCATATCTGGGGGAAAAAAAAAAAAAAAGAATCTGAGATAAGCAATAATTGATAATTCTTTTAAATTTTATTCTGCAATTTTTGTGTCTGCCTGTGTTTTACAGAAGATTAAAAAAATACTTATTCCACTATGATAATAGATATTGCTAGTACGCATAATTTTAAAAATAATTAAAATCAGTTTACATCAGCAGGAACACACAATTAACCAATCCAATATATGTAAAAAGATGGAAAATTTACTTGATAAATGTTTCTCCAAGAGGATTTCATTTTTTTTTTTTTTTTTTTAAATGTAACTTCAAGAAGATATATTTATTTGAAAAAAATATAAATTTTTAATAGTAATTCTTAATGAGAATTGTACTATGGAATTGTATAAACAAGATAATTTCAATGTTTTAGTGCTGGTTCTTTAGTTGTCTTAGGAAAATCAAACAATTTTTACAAAATATATTTGACAATCCCATGCATTCTTTTCATATTGAAATGATGCATTTCAGAAACTAATATCGAGATTTTTGTCAAAAAATATTTCTGAAAGTTCTCAATTTAGCAACACAAAATATAAAACAGAAAACACACACTCAACTGTGGCATCCAGTGGAATTGCCATAAACTATTTCTTTCAAAAAATTTCCATATTCTTAAAAGAAAAAGTTGTATTAGCATTAAATATTTCTAAGTTATAATACTGATAATAGCTTTGTTATACCAGAATTATAAACTACATTTAATTTTATCACCACTTCATTATTTATACAATACAAAGAAATTTGACAATCAAAAATATTCTTACCTGTACAAATAGGAGGCTTTATCACATTACCTCCTCCATCAAAACCATCACCACAAGCACCAAGTTCTTCTAAAAAAAGTGAGAAACAAATACTACTAGTAAATTTTACACAATGTGTCTGCATTTACAGTATACATATATAATTTATATATTTTGGTAACAACAGACAGTTGGTGGATAAGCCTCTAACAGTGCAAAGCATGAAACTTTCCAAAAAGGATACTATTATAAAAAGATGTATATAAAGTAGTCAAGTAAGAATGGTATAATTCAAATGTGAAATAGAATTCCATAAAAAAAGTTAATGTTCAAGAGAAATTTTTCTCTTTTCAAGTGTTGAAATGCATCCACACAGCATTATCAACATACTTAAGAGAAATGTATATCAACATGGTTTATCAATAAAACCAATGAAGAACAGCATGACAATCAATTAATCTAGAATTAAGGTATAAGGCCTACACAGAAAACATACTGCTGAAGAGCACAAGACTGTCACTAGACCCTTGAAAAGATATGAAAGAAGAAAGTGGAGGCTGCTTTCAGAACAATGCAAGAGCACATTCAACAGGACGTAGTAAATTTACAATCACACCAGAACCCATGATTGACATGCTGTTCAAATACGACACCAAGAAATGCAGGACTCATCTGTGCAAGCAGAGATTCAGTTCCAAAAAGATGTACTTGGGTGGAAATCTCTCCTGAATAGGAGTTGAACTTGGCTGACCATGTACAAGACAACCATTGCTAAGCAGTGAGTCACATCACAAATGCTGATTACTTCAATGAAAACAGCCTACTTTGGAGCCTGGAAGTAACAGTGAACTAAGTATACATGAAGAGGAGGAAATTGGCACTGAACTGGAAGAGGAAGAAAAGTTGCAAGAACAAAAGAAAAGGAAAAACTTATGTTCAGGTAAAAGTGGGGTCAGCTTATTTCTTCATTGAGGAAGTAATGACTGTTTGAAAAAGAGGGAGTCATCAATTTTATGGTAAAGGCCCACTTCAACCTCAAAGGAAAATCAGTTTTCAAGTAGCCCATCTGGTAGGACTATTGTCAAGCTGAAGATATTGTTAAAAAAGACATCATTACAGAACTATCATAATGTTATTTCTGTAATGATGATTTTTTTTTTGTTAGTCCAGACCACAGGAATATGAAACAACATCCTCGTTTGCTGTAATGCCTCTCCAGTTGCTTAATGCCATCCAAACCTAACAGCACATTGACGCCTGCAACAATCTGCTCAAGTACAATCACCGAGATTGTTAATTATGTTTCATATACTGTCATTTGCACATCACTTATACCATTACATTGCACCACTCTTCCACAAATTACTTTAATGCTGCTGGCCTCATATCACATATCAATCATTTCCTCGGTGATCAATGTCAACAAGGGCATTCACACTTTGGCCATTTACAGTCAACTGTTGTAATGCATTCATGGGCATCACAATGGTAGCAGGTAATATCAGACCGCTCCTCTTTACAGTCTTTTACCATATGGGAACCCTGGCATCTGAAACATCGCAACTTCAGATTCCTCTTCTTCAGTCCACTCAGCTGCTCTTTTGCAACTTGAGGCTGTACACTGCTTCTCCCTACAATTGCTGTCCCTTGCATGTGCTCCTGCCTGGCCAATACTCTGGTACAATTATCAGTTCACCCATGTCTATAATGTGTACACCAGGCAGTTGTTGCAGAGATACAGAGATTTGATTTGGAAACCTATTTATGAAGGTCACTTTCCCAATCCTTTCAAGGCTCTCCAATAAATCCTACCACCCTCCTACTGTTGGCATAACATCAATCAGTTCACCAGACCATGCTACTTTGCTCAATTTGGCATATGCAACAAATAGGCCTTCCATGAACACCACCTTCAATCTCAGCTCCACATTGCACTGAGATATAATGCAAGGGCACAATCTTCAAGGTAGAGTGGTATGAGATAGGTAATATCCATGATGTTTTGAAGCCTTGCCACTAGCTTGATTTTACTGAGTTAGGCAATAACATCTCCCTTGGCACAAAATGATTTCAACATCTCAGTGCTTAATTTAATTTTTCCTGCTATTCTTCACCTTTTGTGGTCGAAAGAGTTTGTAGTTTAAATTAAGTAACAGTCTTTGTTCATTTTGACTCAATTGAGCAACTCACAAAATTCCTGAGTAGGGTTAAAGCTGATTGAAAAAGGTTCTCCAGGCGACAAACAAAAAAGTGACTAGAAAAAAAAGTATTGGCACTCTAGAGTTTCACTGAATGATCTTATTCCAGTCAACAGGAGTGACATCTCCATTAAAAGCTGGTTGACTGAAGGTTGAGCAGTACATTTTTATTTTTCTCTTCAACCACCGTATATTGGCAAGCATGGCCTAATGGACGGAAAAAAAAAAAATTAAACATTATATATATATATATATATATATATAATAAAAAGGCTTAAACACTAATATTCCATGGTCATAATTTATTCCATTGGAATCGTAAAAGTGTTTAAGCCTTTTTATTATATCCTTACTCTGTCCTAGACATTGAGTTCTACCTGGATCCTTCCTCTTGGAAAATTTTTTCTGAAAATATACATGTATGGGAATTTTTTAGATATATTTTTCATATGTATGTATATTTTCCACTAATATTATCAATATATATATATATATATATATATATGTGTATATATGTATGTATGTATAGCTCAAAGTATCTGCTTCAAATTTTAGTTGGTGGTACCTAATTGTAAGTGTTGTGGAAGTGGTTTTACCATTAAGTGAATCTATAATTGGTGGCTGATTGGAATGAGAATTGCAGTGGTAGTAAATTAACAAGTGTTTGAAGAAGGAATGTAACAGAGTTAACAGTGTGAATTCTATAAGTGAGTGCATATATGCTTGGTGCCAATTCAAAACCTATGGAATTGGGAATTTACTAGCATATTAGAAGTACCCTAGGTTTTTGGGGGTTTTTTTTCTAGTGAGCTTTTGGAGAAAGAAAGCATTTAATTACAATAAAAGAAATTAGTACCTGAAATTATCTGGGTTTGAACTTGTGAATTAACAGGATTTTTTTTTAACTAGTAGGATCAAGTGAAACAAGAAGCTTATCTACACTTGCCACTAAAAAAAATGACAGACAACCGAGATAAACCAGTTGCCCTTTCAACTACTGAAGCTAAAATTCAAAATTGATATTTTTGTTAATCCCATTCATTCTTTTTGCGTTTATTGATGTTAGCTTAGGAATTTGGTCAAAGCCTATTTTGTATGATGAATATGAAGTCATCAAAATCCTTCCTTGTTACTATGCACGTATGCGAATCAATTTATAACCCAACACTTGAAAGGAACATATCGTTATGTATACCAGTGGGTAATATAAGAAAGTCTGGACAGGAGTAGTAACCAAAAAACTGATGAAATGTAAAAGAACAGTTGACACACCACCTCTTTGCTACCCACTCCACTTTGCACAATACAATTTCATCAACTGAAAAGATTTCCCCAGCCAAAGAGATTTCATTTGCAGACTGATGAAATGAAGAAAGAATTGAAGATAAAGTGTTCAAGGTTAACTTGTTTACAGGCCTGTAACCAAAGTTTTGTTTGGATTGTTGAAGTGACTACCAATGACCACTCCAGGTATTTCTGTTGTTGCAACATGTTATTCATAAGACTGACACTAACTCATGAACCAGTCATAGTTAGGTAGATCCCAGTGCTAAGGAATTGGGAAGGGTTAATCCTCAAGAAATAAATTCTACATTATTGTTGCTAAAAGTAAAAACCAGTTGTCAGTTCTGAAAATCACATCCTTCCCAACCTTTCTTGTAAGACACCTTCCTTTGCTCTTGAGGGCATTCATACACACTTAAAATAAGACTTCAAATCTAGAACTTAAACAACATGGGTAGGAAAAGTTGACTAGCAAAATGAGACACCCAAGCAGCAGTCCTAGACCTATGGGAAACCAGGAGTCCAGTTATATAACAACAAAAAGAACATAAAGAGATATGTACATTGCAAATTTTAAACTTTGGTCCAAGTGAGTTAACAATTAAAAAAAAAAAAAAGTCATTTTTTTTAAATGATCCATATAGAGTAACAGCAAAAAATTTTTTAAAACAAAGATGTAATGGAAAGCCAGCTTAAAGAAAAACTATAAAGTGGCTCAATGTAGTTACTCTTACTTTTAAGTTTTACAAACTTACCTGGAAAGAAATCATCTCTTTCATTTTTCCCTCGTTTTTTCATACCTAAAATTGAAACAGTTTTCTTACAAAAAGGAATTTAAAAAAATTACAGAAATAAATTATACAAAAATAAAAACAAAAATTATACATTCATTAAACATCCAAAATTATTTAAATACAGAGTTCAATTTTGTGGAAAGGTATTAAAATAAGCAAAAGTTAGCTAAAAACCAAGAAAAATAGGAATGAGATATTGCTATATCTATTAACTGCATGATAATCTACATCGTTCAAAATATAAAGCTTTATTTCATTATTTATATCAATATATCTGTCTCTGCAAAGGAATTTTCTAAAAATGTGTAAGAAATTAAAAATTGTCTTTAAAATTGTAGCCTTGAAAAAGCTCATATCTATTATAATTATTCTTTTTCAAAACCACACCTGAATTTGTAACAGTGCATCACGATTCACTTTTGGGTGTGTTATGTTCCTTATTTTCAGCCCATATTAAATGCCAAGACATTTAGGCAAATATACTTCTAATATTTTACAAGAGTTAATAGGACTAATGAACATCTTTTTCTTGCTACCACAATACCTTAGCTGTCATTCTAATCATTTTCAAGTGTATAAACCAAGAGGAAAATGGGAAAACATAGGAATGGCATACATTAATCTAACAGATATACATATGTAGATTTCTTTGCTTAATAGGAAAATGATTGGAGCAAATTCTTGTATATTAAAATGCGAAATTGGTGTCACATCAATTTCAACATTATGATATTATGAATAGGCCAAGTTAATCTGTTCGTGATTACTGTTTGCTATCATTTACTCATAAGTGTTTCTGCATGTTACTTTACTGCTAGAAAATACTTGTTAAGAGAAGTGACTAATTACATTGAATGTTATGACCATATTTTTAGAAAATACAAGAAATAGATATTACAAAGAAAAAGATTTTTCCTTTTTCTTGTCTATCCTTGAGTATTGTCACCCAACAAAAAAAATGACTAGACAGTTTTGCCAAAGCAAATATGTGAACAAATGGGAAAAAAAAAAATGCTTCGGTTCTCTATATAAAAGAAAAAGCATGACTGTTCAACTTTAAGAAATAGTGACAAACTACATTCAGCACTGGGATGCTGGAAAATTACCAAAAGGATTATACTGTCTCAATAGATGTTCACAGCTATCTAATATGTATTATTTATTATGTGCAAATATATCTCCAATATGTCCCATAACTACTTGTTTAGGCTCATGTCAAACAAACATTGTGGCCATGCCATTCATTGCATCTTGGGCTTTGTGAATTTCCTGCTGGAATAACTCATCATTATTGGAATACATGGAATCTATGTACAAATGCAAATAGTCATGAAGCAATACAACATGGCATTCACCAACTAGTGACATGTTTGGGTGAACCAGCAAGATAAAGCCATACCATATGAACAGAGTACTTTATTGACAACTATAGTCCATAGTCTCATGTTGAGAGGCATTGCATTACACTCATCAGCCCCTATCAGTGGACTATACCATACACTGCTAACTGAACACTGAAGACATAAAACCAGTTGAGGCACTGCATCCATCCACTATCATGATGTTAACAGACATACCCTAATGGATCTTCTCCAATAATTCAGGTCACTTTGTCATGAGCAGCCTAGCCAGTGTTCATACTGACACACCAGATATTACGTCTAGACATTTCCATAACACCAAAGTATGGTGGCACCATCTATTATAATGGTTGCATGCTGCTATCCCATAACTTTTAGAATGTCAACTTATCAAAGAAAATGAGCTGCTGATTGTGCCAGTAGTGTTGAACTGTTGTTACTTGAACAATTAGTCACATTGGACTTTAAAACAAGGAAACTCATCAATGTTATCAAGAAAGCATTTGAAGACCTGATTATGGCTAATAAAATCTAGGCACAGTATCCTTATTGGATAAACATAACTTAATAATAATTAGAAGTCATGTCTATCCAATAGGAAAAATTCATGATACAATAGTATGTCTCACCTAAGGATAAGATTAGGTAATTCACTGTCCAATATGCTCAAGTCAAGACTAGATAAGTCAAAGGAATCAGCAGCAGCACTTTCAGGTGGTGTCTGGTGAAAGATACTCGATGTTCAGCAGAGAAGTCTGCACCCGACAATCATGCAACTGAGGTCTTGGGTTTGCTCTACTTGGCAAATCATCAGCACCTCAAAATTGGTACATTAATGAGAGAACTGTTCTAGAAAGATAGTTTTAAAGTGGCTTTCCTTAAAGACTCTGCCTAGCTCTATTTCAACCTAAGGTTGATCAGTCATAGACCTAGAGAGGAAAAAGTTTCTAGATAAGGTTCAGTGACCTAAACAAAAAAACAAACAAAAAACACACACAATGTATATATCAAAATATAGATAAAGGTATTGCTTTTGATACTTGTCAGCACAAATGTTTTAATTGATGCAGTCTTAGGCATTCAAGTGTAGATCAACTCAATTATTAAGCATTCTTTCACCTGGCTATTAGTCCAGAATTCACGACCTCTCAACAGTGTAGACATCAACCAAGTCTGGCAAATATACCTAATTATAATCATTGTTATAGTAACTTGAAAGAAATAGCAGAGTATGCCTTCTTCCACTGTAGCAAGCTCGAATTCTGAAACTATTTTTCAGGTCTTTTTTTTCAAGATCTCCACTATCTTCTAGTTTTTTTTACCCTCACTTTTCATCTTGAAAATAATGATTTTCTTATATCCTAACATTAACTTGCCTGACTAACAAACTGGTCAGAAAAAAGTTCAGTCCTTATAGAAAATAGTGATCATTCTTGTACTAACATGGGTAAATTAAAATTCATAAAAAACATTTTAATTTCTTAACTTTCCAAGCTGAGTGTTTATTTTTTTTATATATATATATATATATATAAAACAAATAAAGACAAAAGGAAAACATATCTTAGTCAACATGTCTCATTCTCTGATGTTGGTTTATGTATTTTTGGTAATCCTCAAGGCGTGGCTGTTTTTGTGGGGTTTTCGATCTGTTTTAGCAAGGAATTTTTTTTTTTTGTCTTCGTTTTTTCTTGGTTTCATTTTTACATTTTTGTATCTCTTTTATGATCTCGTGTTCATTTATTTTTTCATAGATATTGTTGTCATCAAGGAGGTGTTCCATTTTTTGTAGATAAATGTGTGTCTATAATTATAATTCTACTGCCTTTGTCAGAGGAGGAAATATGAATATTTTTGTTGTTTTGATAGTTCTTTTAGAGCTCCTATATCTCTACAGGAAAGTGTGATTTCATTTGGTTTTTTTTGAGTGCGGCAGTAATTAGACTGTTTCCTTTGTTGAAATCTCACAATTAGGAAAATTTAAAAAATGTATCTATGAGCACAAGAGACCTTATCACAACAATTTATCAAATGCATTAGTTATACATAGAAATAAATTTGACTACAAGTTTGCTCTAAAGAATGCCACACTTATTAAAAGAAAAAGTAACTTAAAAAAAAAAAAAAAAATTCTCGAAAATGTCTATCGAATTTTATCAAAATATAAATCTGCACCCTGGATATTTTCCAATATCTCCATCCCTGAAAGAATTGCTACAATCCAAAGCAAACATACATAACTACAAAAAAGTTTAAAAAAAAAAAAAAAAAAAAGTTAAATCGATAACCTCATGTTATTCAAAATATATAACACATAAATTAATCCCAGAGTAAAATAATTTAAATACTTTTGTTTATTAGACATTGAATTGTATTACTTCATGTCCTTCATAACTTGCCAGATTTTTCAGTTAATCCAGATGAATATTTATGAGTGTCCCAATACCTAAAAATTTGTTTTAGTATATAATTGTTAGAAAATAAAATTTTCACATTTGCCTTCATAGAGTCCCTCAGACGATGAAATGCATCAGTTAAGATAAGTTTTCCTTTTGTCTTTATTCATATTGTCCTTTCATAGATATACTCTATCTGAAATATTTATATATAGTATATAACTGTAGAGCATGGATGCTTAGCATAAATCCCAGAGTAATATTGTGGTGGATAAAGAGTAAGTTCTTTCGGACAAAGAAAATGCAAATGGTTAGAAATAGAATAAAGAAAGAGAAATAGAATAAAGAAAGAGAAATAGAATAAAGTGTGGCAGAGAGAGTTGTAGATTTGGATAGCAAAATTAAATCAGAGCATTTTGTTTACTGATGTGGAAATTTGATCTAGGGCAGAAGTTGTACCCATTGAATCTGGGTCATCAAAGGACAATGGAAATGGTCAAAATAATTTTTAGCGATTAAAAATTGAAATAGAGCTGAGTAAGGTAGAAGGAACTTTGAAATTCACATGATTATGGTTAAAGTAGACACAACCCCCATGATAATTGCGTGAGAAGCAGTAGGGCCAAGGGTCAGTTGTAACCAGCCTGGTGAGCATTCAGACAGAAGAGGCAGATGGAAGAGAGAGACAGAAGAGAATTAGCCTGGGCAAGAGTTGGGCTAGAGACAGTGGAGAGTCGTGTTGGAAACTCAAGAAGAAGGTGACGTCAGAGATTGGAACAAAGCGTCCACTAACATGTGCTGTTGATACAAGTACCACTGCTTCTGCTACCACGAATATTACTACTACTGTTACTACTGCTAAGGAGGAACGCCACTATAAACTTTAAGCCGCGCACAGAAATATTATTCCCCCATCGCAAGAGTTGTATATCGTTCTGAGATGATTTAACAACAAGTTGATCAGAACACACTCTCTCTGTGTCCAGAATCGAGTGTATGCGTTTTTACGTCAATTACTTTTCTTTTCTGTAACGCGTTTTCTTTTCTATACTATTCTTTTCTGCTATATAAAAGACATTAACAATTCAATCATTGAATAGTTGTTTGTCCAGCTTTCTGCAGATATTAATTTTTTTTTTTGCTGCATTCTAAATTTCCAGCCGTGTCTACATCTTCAGTTGACCGTGAATAGATGAACATCACTTCTGCTTTCTGGATCAAACCAAACACAACATAGGAAGGAAGCAGGATTAAACCATTTGTCCGGTTGAATAATCTACAGATGCTCAGAGGACCTACGGCCACTCCTCTAAGTTCAGTTAGGACCGAGTAGACACCTCAACCCAGAGAGCAAGACGTCAGAGGTTGAGGGGCTGGGGTGAAAGTGTTAGAAAAGGAAAAGAAATAGAATAAAGAAAGAGAAATAGAATAAAGAAAGAGAAATAGAATAAGGAAAACTGACATCTCTCCTCTATATCCATATATTATGGCACCAAATTTGTATTAATTACAAATAAATATAGGTATTTTCTGGAAAACATAACCCCCTTTTTCATTATGAATCAGCAAAAATATTGTGATAACAACAAAAGTCCTTGGAATGATGATTACTGAAAAATATAAAGAAGAACACTTTAATTTATTGCTATGGATTTCTATTATAGATAAATCTGAATGATTTTTTTAGCATACCAGCTACCAGTCATATTAATAAACCTGATTTACTTTTGTATTGAAAAATATATTGCAAGATAGGGTACATAATTTCAGTAGCATTATTAGCAAGCTGATCTTGCAAATCATTGCTAGTGAACTTGTTCCTCACTAAGTGTCCCTACATGTGCAAAATTAAGTTATACATCATAAATAATTATAGCACTCAGGATAATCTTTTAATGTCTCATGAACTAGCAAACTCACAGAGATACTAAATAGTGCAACTTGATATGATGTACATTTTGTTTGTAATAAATAAAAAATGTGGTATTATATATGAATTTATTCTTCAAAAAAGTAGATTAGTAATAATGCTTAACAGTGTACAAAGTTTCATGCAAAATTACAAGCATTCATTTAAATCAGTCAAATATACCTTTGTTTAATTTTTCCTTGAAGGATTTAAAGAAACTTTTTTTTTTCTCCCCTTTATCATCATCAAAGTCCTACAAAATAAAAATTTAGTATAAGAGAGCATTCATAGCAAAAAAATCTGGTTCATGGTTTTATGATAAGAAATAAGGTAAAAATTCCTTGTGACATAATGGAAAAACAGTTTATATTAAACATTATTTTAAAAAAATGCTTGATATTTTATAAAGCAAGTCAATGAACTCACTGTAAAATCATAAAATAACCCTACATTCTTAATTGTTAATATTAAAAAAAATGTAATAAAATTTATTTTGATTGATTAAAGAAAAGACAAGCTTCATTACAAAAGTCAATATTTTTCCAATAAAATTAACCAATGTAGATAAAATTTTCAAAATATACTTACAAATATAGTATGAAAATTAGCTTATAATATTTTTATTAGAAATATTTAAAGTATGTGAAATTTTCTTATCTAATACAAAAGGTTGCTTATAATATATAAAATCGTATAGTTATTGATAGTTATTTTTTTTTAATTTCAGGTATATAAAGATTGCTATTCATCACAAGATATAACCTCAAAAAGAAGCAAAATACTGTAAAGTTAATGAGTAATAGGAACACAACATTGGAAATTACAAAAATGTTGAACAATCAAAACAAATTTGAAAAAACAATTAAAAGAGTAATAAGCAAGAAACTGACCAGCAAGTAAATATCTGAAGAAGTTTATTTTACAAACATAAATAGAAAAAAATTGCTGGATATTAGAATATTAGTTAAAGACATAAAAGCAACCAAACTATCACCTTTAAGTTAATGTCACAAAGAAAAATGTGTAAGTTGGGTGAAAAAGTAAATGAAAACTGATTTCTCAACAGTAATTTTTAGTGATAAATATAAAACTAGAGATTGATCATTCATGGAAACCATCAACCAACACAACTTAAAATACACTGGGAGTGGTGGAGGAAGTAATGTTTTGAATTAGTATTGTAGGAAATAAAATAAGCTCCTAGAAAGTTAATGATGGTACTAAGATAAATGCAGAGAATTACGATAAGTTCTTGCAAGACTATTTTTAAAGTTTAGTTCAAGTGTATATTCATGAAACTAATTCAAGTGTATATTCATGCAATGCTGATTATTGCCTACATTGCAAGAAAAGGTTTAAAAACCCCAATATTAATCCAACAGAAAAAATTTACTATAATTAAGTGATGTACATGAGAATGTACAGAAAATAAAAACTGAAAGCAATGTTAAAGTCAAAATAGTAAGAAAATCAATGACTAAAAGACCAATGAAGGTTACAAAATAACAAGTAGCTCACATTGACAAGCAAAAATTTAATTTCTAAATTTTATATGGGATATTATGTAATGCAAATGTGGTCTATATATTCTAGGTTTATTTATATAAAAAATGTATATTGCATAATAAAACCTGATGCAGCCCAAGTTATCAATATCATTAAGATAAATATTATAACCAAGTTAAATTCACATAAAATATTGCACATATAAATATATCCTGAAAGCAATAATTTTTCTTAAATAATTAAAAAAAACAATGATTTTATTCATGTGTATAATTGTAAAATATAGTAGTATTTTTTTCTTGAGAATAGTACAGACAAAACTTGAAATTTAAGTTATGTTGTAATAATTACAATTATGTTGGGAATGATTTTCAAACTGAAAAAAAAAAAAAATTTAATTCAAGTACAAAGAATGCTCTGGAAGACCTCATAACTTGGAAACAGATGAAGTGAAGGAAAGATGCAGCACAAACGTTAACTTGCAGAAAAATGTGAATAAGTCAATATCATTGACAAACCAGAAGGAAAATTTAAAAACTATGTAAATGGGTTCCATATGAACTCATAGAAAGGATCATCAGTCAGGATTTAAATATTTATCTTTCTTTTATTAACACCAAGTTATTTGGGGTCACTGGTGATGAAAAATGGATAAGAAAATCATGGCAAAATCCAAATCTTTAACAGCTAACCTAAACAGAATATAATGAGGATAAAACTTTTGTTTAAAAGGGAATTAATTACTTCCACCTGGACAAACTGTTATAGCATAATGATAGTGAGGTTTGTTTGAACAATACATTGGGATAGAAAAGTGATATTGTTGCCTAACATTGCCTATCCACATGTTGCAAATGTGATGCAACTAATAATAGGTAGGAAATTCTACATGCTACAAATTATTCAGATATGTCCTCTTTAAACTATCACTTACTTGGTTCCATGTAACACACTTGTGCTTCATTTAAAATTTTAACATCTTAAGACTAGAACTTGTTTTATATTTTAGCAACCAGCAGATTTATTATTTCAATTGACAATTTCTTCTAAGTGATAATACATTTTGGACTGATATAATTTTCATATCCACACCATATCAAATAAAATCCACTGCCAAATAATTTTCTCTAATGTTTCCAATCCATTTTTCTTTGTAGGTTTGCAATGGAAGTAATTGTGATTTGTGCTATATGGCAATTTGCATCTGCATTTAAATGTGTGCACTAAGCAAAGTGCTAATTAAATTTTAGATTCATTATTTTCAGCATATGTTGAAATGATTGCATTCAACTAATGTTTAAATTCGAAGAGAAAATATTTATGGAAATATGCATATAACTAGCATAATAACTTTGCCTTTATCGTAATTATTAAATGTACATTTATAGAAAGTATAGTTAATGTAAAACATTTTGAAAACATAGAACCAAGAAAAGATTAAAATAAGAGGATTTATAAAATTAAAAAAGCTACCTGATCTATATCCAAGGAATTTTTTACTTCAAAACTATGATGATTACTCCTCATTGGAAAAGGTGTAGCAATATCTACTCTCTTCAGTGACTGCGAAAGTCCAGAAGTAACATTAGCATCAGGATCAGTGATTCCTGAAAGATTCTGGGTCCTTTTCACTGGTGTAAAAACATCATCTATAAGTTGAGAAGCCCAGTTTGAAGTCATACTCTCCTGTCCACTTGTTTGATTAAAAGTCTCCCTTGCATCAGAAACAGCTATAGCAGATTCAGCACCACTACCACTGATTGCTGAAACAACTCCACCATTACTGCTACTACTACTACCACCACTATCTTCTGGTTGATCAGCTGCAGTGCTGTTACTGTTTGAGAGAGGATCAAATACTTTTAAAGCAGCAGATAATCTTTGTTCATCAAGTTGGGCATTTTGTTGTTCAGAAAATGTTAAGTCAACATCTGATATTGTCTCACAATTTATTACTCCAGTTCCTATGGGTAAAACAATTCCATATTCATTCATTTTGTTGCTTTCACTTTGAGGAGAATCCATAATACCAGAGTCTTTAGAGGTAGAAAGACTATGCTCTTCTTCTCCAAGAATAGTGAAACCTATATCAGATGATTCAGAGGTTAGAACTGTGTGAAGTACAGGTTTCAAAGGTGTAGGATCATATGCAGGATAATTTTTTTGAGCATTTTCTTGAAATGGATGCATGAATCTAGATCTGGAGTGATGATCTAAAGCTGATAACATGGCAGTCACTTTGCCTTGAGCTTGCTTAAATGTAGCTGACAAGCGTTGCCGAGGCACATTTAGTAACTTAAACCCATCAAGACTACCATCAGGACCAATGTCAATAAGCCCCGAACTGACTGGAGATTTGGTTGTTGGGGATCTTTTAAAGAAATCTGGACTTTTGTTAGCTTTGAATGTTACTCTGTCGGTTCCATATGATCGTCGATGTCGATGGTGGTGATGGTGGTGATGGTGACTTGACACACCACCCACAGCTCCAAGACCCTCCAGCTCACGCTCTTCAACTGGACTCTCACGACCTAACAGGTGTAAAAAAAATTTTTTAAAATGATGAAATTTGCAAAGAGATGAGTATTAAAGGATTACATACACTAAATGACTAGAATATGACTTCATAGTGTATGTTAAACAAAACTTTAAATCTGCTAAATGTATCAGTGCTCAATAATGAAGCATTCATGAGAAAAATGATTAAATCCCTATTAAAAAAAAAAAAAATCTGAGTCAGAACTCAAAATGGAATATAAGTAATGCTTTCAAAAGGTGGTATTTGACTTGTCAAGGATTTCTTATTGATGTACCAGCAATCTTGGCTTTGTTTTCCCAACATATGAACATTGACAAATAAGGAACAAGGCATAATATTCTCACTGAAATTTCTATCAGACCCAAAACAAAACTATTACTACTTCAAGTGTAATCTCAGCTTGCAAATGAATGAGGGCACAGAATGATAAAATATTATTTAATGACCAATACAGCTCTAACCAACTCAAACATCCAATTACAAATGACTCCCCCTTTGAAAAGAATTTATTTTGCATTTCCAAGTGATAAGCTCTTTTTAAAGTAATTACTTAACTACTCAGGTACCTTTATACAATCTGACATTGTAATGGATGCATGTTGATTTATTAATTGATTTGTTTTACAGCATATCACTCTTTTAATGTTAAAAAATTGGATTTTATATTAGTTAAAAATTTTCCTGATTTTTTGCATAAAAAAATTCAACATCAAGAATATTTTTTTTAATTTAAAGTTAAGATTTAATTTTTATAATGGATAAAATTTCCAATGTTTTACTTTAAACATTTGATAAATATACAAAGTTTCAATTTTTCAATGGGTACATACATTTTTCAAAATTAAGTGCATAGAGATTTCAAAAGTACAGGTTTTTAAGCCCAGCCTTTTAATTTAAATGTTACTTGGTTTGACATGGTCAAAAAGCTCTTTTAGTTTGATAATATGTAATATTTTTCATGAACTAGTTTGAAGTAAACATTCTGTCAGTATATGCTTTACTGTCTATCTTTCCAGATATGTCCTTCATTTTTTAGTATATATGAATGAGTAATGGAAGCAGAACCAATCTGAAGTCTGGCAAGAGCTAGCTCTTGTTTTCTCTCTTTCTTGTAGCCTGAAGACCATTCTTCAATGTTGGGTTTAATATTAAACAGCTGATTGTTTAGGCATTTTCCACTTAAACTATATTTATTAATGGTTTGCTTCAAGTTTGTATGAGATTTTGCTTGTTGAAAGGTTCAGTTCTAATGACTCTTTTGCTGCTTTATCAACTTTGTCATTGCAGTGGATGCTCAGTATCCAATAGAAGAGGATGGTTTTTGTTTTGAAAAGGCATTAATTTTATTTAGTAGATCAGTCATTTTCTTTTTTTTTTTTTTAGTGCTGTAAGAACTGACAGGGAGTCTGTAAAGAGGAAGGATTTCTTGTAATTACCCAAGGTTATGATGTGAAAGACTAAGTTAATGGCAGACATTTATGCCGTATATTGAAGCTTTGTCTGGGATCCATTTCATTAACCTTATTTTTTTATGGATAGTGGTGCATCTCACTTTGTCTCCATCTTTTGATCCATCAGTGTATAATGGTGAATGGTCAGAGAATGTATTTTGACAGCAAGTAGTTTTTGTAGAAGATAGGATTGGCTTTTGTTTTTGGATATTTAGTTTTAGCAATATTTTTGGTTGCTTGATCATCCAAGGGGGAAATGTTGATTTGATGGACATGTGTTATGTCTATCTGAACTTCATTGAAGGAATCTTTCATATACAGACTGTATGGCTTAATATTTTCTTTTTTGTTGAAAAGAGCCATATATTGTGGGTGGAAGATGCATTTCTAAATTGGATTTTGACAGGTATGATGCAAGTTTAAATAGTATTGCAGTGCCAGCTTTTTTCTTATTGCCAAGAGAGGTTCATTACCATCTGTATATAACCTTTTCCCTAGAAAGGTTGTAAAAGCTCCCAAGTTAAACTTAGTCCTTGGTGGTATATCATATCAAATTCCTTTATTTATGATCTTCTGCACCATATATATAAAGCAGCCATAATCTAGATTTGATCTGTCTAATGTGCAGTAATGTGTAGCTTTGTCTGTACCCCAGACAATGTGTGCTAGAATTCAAAGAAACTGCATGGATTTCACACGAGGTATGAATGTTACTTTTTTTGTCAAATATGATGTCTAAGTAGTTGTATTTACCAGCAGCAGAGATATCATTGTCTATTTCCAAGATAGGATGTGCATTTTTCAATGTTGGCAAACCAGAAAACAAGATTAATGGAGATCTTAACTACAAATCATTGTAGGTTGGAACTGTTGTAACCAAGGAACTCAGTGTAAAATAATTTCATTCACAATTATTATTTCTTTGATTTCATTTATTATATGTTATCATTATTATATTTATTTGCATTTATATATATATATTATTTCAACTTTTCCACAATTACCAAATTTTTCTCAATTAGTATTTGTATGACTATCCTGAAGATAGTCATATTTTTGTTTTTTGCTTACCTAATTTATGAACTTTACCTTTTCTACTCATTTATTTTTTTATCAGTTGATAGTTTCGCTATTAGTAATGTCAAAAAGGTAGTATAAATTATTTTTATTGTAGGTTATAAATAATTTCATAATCTCAGAGTATTTTAGGCTTAATTTTGATTTATATTTTTTTTTCCAGTTACTAAATTTTTCAATATTTGTGCTTATTTATGTACAACTCTTTGGTAATTCCTTTTGATTTTTAGTGTTTCTGTTTATCTAATGCCATACAGTACTAAAAAAAAAAAAAAAAAAAAAAAAAAAAGTTAATTTTGGAGGAAGTTTCTGAAACAATGCATGTAATGTTTATATATGTATATTATATATGCTCCAAACGTTGTCATAGCTGTCTATAAAACGCTACTATAGTATGCATTTCAAATAGCCTCTAACAACTAAGTCCAGCTCCAAGCCAGGGAAAAGGTGAAGATGGACAATTGACATGTCATAACCAGCTGTTTTGGATAGATGGAGCTCATCAGGGGATAGAAAACCCTTATTTCAAACATCCACTGTTTTGAAGCCATATCTAAACACAGAAAAGACTATGGAAGTAAATCCAAACAGAAAATCTGGAGTGGATCCCAAAGGCAGTTAACTCTGGCAACTCTTGCAGCCAAGCTGACCCCAAATGTAATACTCTATACTCTTTTGCATCTTGTCACTACAGGTGAGAGTGGGGACACCTGATCTGGGTAGCACACTGCATCCATAAACCATCGCCTAGATGGAAAGAAAAAAAAAGAAACTAACAAGTTGGATATCAGAAGACAATGCAAGAAACATAGAACCATCTTCAATGCACATTTCAGCTTCGTCTTTCACACCTGCAGAAGAGACTGCCATGCAAAGATCGAACTGTTAATCCACTCCAGACACTGCTCACAAAAGGATTGAATTTTGACCAAACAGGGTGCTACCATTATCTCCTGAAATAAACAGATGCCTACTCTTTATGTTAAAAAGCATGAGATACAAAATGCTTCCTTGAGAAATAACCATTTCTTGGTTTTGAGCCAAAATAGTGTCACCTAATCATACTAGAAAATGTCTATCATCTAAGAAGTTACAAACGAAAGCTGGAATTCTACCTTTTAGTCCAATATCTTGTAAGTCTCTATACCATACTCCCAGGCCTTTTCAAGGTCAAAGAAAATTGCTGCTACATGTTCTTTTTTGATAACCACTTCTTGTATTAACTTTTCCAAACAAACTAGGTGGTCAACTTGACTTTTCATTTCTAAAACTTGATTGATATTCTGTATTCAGATTGTTTGTTTCTAAATAGCATATTAATCTATTGCTGGACATCCTTTCAAAAGTTTTACACACACTGATGGTTTTTGTATGGCTTGTTTCCATATTTCAGAAATGTTGTTATTGACTCATATATAGGGACCTCCACTTTTTCGCTAAAAAAAAAAAAAAAAAAAAAAGTATAGCATGATGAAAAAGGCTCCAAACTTGATGAAAAAGTTTTATCAAAATGTTTGTTATTATAAAGAGGAAAGACCAAAGTATTTTTTAAAATTATTTTTTTTAATTTTTTAATCCTTTCTATCATGTTCAAAATTTTGGTTAAAAATTCTTTTTCTTGCATCAGAAGCGCACCAAAGATTACCATGAGAATTTTAACGTCTTTTTGTGGTAAAAACATTTTGAAAATTCTTGCAAAAATCAAATAATTATCAGATTTTAAGGAAAGTTTCAGGACTTATTCACAAATGAATGAAATTATTTTTTAATTTTTTTTACAGAAAATCTTCATAAATTTTTTTTCCAACATCTTTTACACCGACTTAATTTTATGAAATTTCAAGAAATCAAATTTTGATCTGCTTAATGTTTATATTAGTTAAAAACGGACTCCTTGAAGAATTTAAATCAATTTTTTTTCAAACATTTATTCACTTGCCGAAAATCTGATCCAAATAAAAAAAATAAGCAAAAAAAAAAAAAAAAAAAAAAAAAAAGATATTATTTAATTATGAAAACTGTTAATTGCTAGTTTCCTTACTGTCCCACAACTACTTATAACAGTTGAAGTAAGTTTTTTGTCTGTTTCATTGCTTATCTTTCTTGTTATGTATAACTAACAAATAGTTATTGTTTTCTGCAAATGCAACTGCCTGCCTATTTGTTTTTAAGTTTACTTCACTATGAGAAATGTTAATCCTAATGATTATTGATGAGCCACCCAAGGTTCTCTCTGCTTGTTTATTTATGTGATTGTATGATGTGCAGTGTATGATAAGTGTATTACTTCCTGTCAGGTGGGTTTTTAGCTGGTATATTATTGCGGGAGAGAAAGTTGTAATGAGGAACAGTATTTTCTTAAGGTTAACTTTCATACTTCTTGTATTCCATTGTATTATTTCATGTTATGGTTTATTTTCTGTAGTGATCTTTGTGACCCTGTGGTGGAAAGCTGTGGCTCTTGTTTGGTAAAG